GGCCACACTATCCCTAATTCGAAATGTTAAAATCGATTTTGGCGCTACTCCGCTCGTCGGGGTGGAGTACAGAAATCGATTTAAAGGGCCCTTTATTTCGAAATAAATGGCGTCGTTGTGTGGATGGTTGCAGGGTAAATTCGAATTAACGCTGATAAAACCGAATTAAAGTCGTAGTGTAGACCAGGCCAAAGATACAAACACCAGAGTTACAGACTAACCGGTCAGCCAGACAACATGGGGAACCAGAAGTAAGTTATCAGTCAGCAGCGGAGACAAAACAAAATAAAATAAAACAAAACAACAGCAAATACTGTACTGTACTGTGCCTGTATTGAATCTGGGCTGCCTGTCTCCACCCCCCACCCACCACCGTGCAGGCAGCCACTTACAGGTAGGAGATGGTGAATTCTGTTTTCCCCTCTCCCTGGCTGGGAGGAGAACAAGCTTGCAAGCTCAGAGCCCTTGAAAGAAACTTCCTGAGCTGCTACTGAAACCTGGCTGGAGTGTAAGCTGCTGGAGCCATAGCCCCAGATCTTGCCTGCACACTGCGCTCTGGAGTAGCAGCTCAGTTTTAAAGGGCTACAGCCTGCACCATGCACCCACTGACACTGTGGTGCCCCAGGGTGCCTCATTCATCACCCTTGCAGCCAGGGGGCTAGAACCAGCTGCCTGTCCCCACCCCCACAGGCAAGGCAGCCACTGCAGAGCTGTCAGCCCCCCCTACGAGCACGCCACCCTGAGGAGCATCCCATAATGGCTTGTTCAGAGTTATGAACAACCTCCATTCCTGAGGTGTTTGTAACTCTGAGGTTCTACTGTATTTGTATTTTCTTTCTCAGATATCAGGTGGGAGAGTGAGTGAGTACGTGGACTTAGTCCAGATACACACATGTGTAACTAAGAGCTGCCCCAATTAGTTTATATGGTATGTGATTTCAAACCTGTAATCACTGCACATTCAAGTCCCTTTGATAAAAATGTTAAAACATTTTCTTCAGACAATGAAAATATCACTCAGATGCAAGAGTTAAATTAAGTCCTAGTTTGGCTGCTTGAGTGTAACAGCAGCATTTGGCCAATGGAGTTATTTTGGGTCAAGGTGACAACTGATCCCAGATACAAGCTGGAATTTCACTGTCACTCTCGTTCAGTAGAGAAGCTCTGGCCCTAGAGAGTGGCAAGTCTCCCGTAGTTACTTTTTCACTTGCATTGTATTGGCTGATAAATATTTTCTTTTTCCTAGTACTTCCTTGGGTATCCATCTACCTTTTTCCTTTCCTAGTATGTAACACACCCTTCAATTTAGTTACTGAACAGGATCTCAGTGTTTCCCACTTGGTCTTGAAATGGCTTCCCCAAAACAGTTTGCATTACATGTGTTTAAATGTTTTTTACTTCCTGCATTAATATGATTTTCCTCCCCACAAAATCTCCCTATCTCAGTGGCTTACTACCAGGACTCTGGAGTGGCTGCAGGTGCTCTGCTCAGAAAGGCTATTGGTTTGTGTCCTTGTCATTTCACAGTCTGGAACTCCCCTTTCCCTCCCCACACAATTTTCATGGTTCACTTATTTTTTCTCCTCTGCCTTCTCACTCCGTACCTCATTGGGTTTACTCTTTGCTTTGCCTTGCTAACTACTGGTTATAAGAAATATCAGTGTTGGTTTGGTTATTTGTGGCAAATTTGGCTGCCCAAACAGCAACTTAACGGATTAACAGGAAACCCAGTTCCGGGGCCTGATTCACCACTGCATTATTCCAGTTTAATGGTGATGTAGCTGCATGGAAATCAGTGGAGTTACACTACTGGCATAAAACTGATAAACCACAAAGGTAAATCTGCCTCCTGCCATATATGTTTGACCAGGACAAACTCCACAGTTACTGTGAGTTACATGTATCTTGATAGAGAAACTCCACTCCGTGGCCATCAAGGTGTTACACAGCAGTACAGTCCATGACTGCAACCTATTTCAGCAAAGGGAAGGATACCGTAAGGAGGCACTGAGCACAAGTAATACCTCCCAAACTCTGCTGTCAAGTGGGCTGTGCTGAGTGGTACAAAGAATGGATGGGGGGGCCAGACAGCCCCAACAGAGTTCCCCTGACTGACAGCTCCCAAACATGAATAAGTACTTACTGTTAATGACAATTGTAATAACCACTTACACACTGCCCATCAATATTGTGCACCTGACCAATACACATGGCAATATTTAAAATACAGCCTGTGTTCAGTTGTGTGGTGAGATAGTATTATAGTAGAAGCCACAGGAAAAATTTTGGTTGCGTCAGGCAGAATTCCTCTTTGGGCTCCAGGGTAGGGCTCAACAGGCATCAGCCATGCATATAGCTGTGGTGGTGCAGAAAACTATTTAACTACATGTGCAAACAGGACCAATTCATGTTCAGCACCAGTTTAGAAACCATAATTGAGCCCTGTTTGAGGCAAGGTTCAACCACAGTTTCTGAAACGGTGTTGAATATCAATAGGTCCTTTCTACACATTGCTGTATCAGCAATGGATACAATACCCTAATGTAGACAGACTCCTATTGTGAAATAAAATGTCTAAGCCAAGTGGTAGTAGCCACATTGCTTTAGACAGTAAAAACTAAACTGGAGAATGAGAAGACAAATACTGTAGGGAACATTCATCCATTGTCAGGAGAATGGACTACATCACTGGTCCCTGACCAGCACGCTATCACCCAATTTTGGGTTGCCACCTTTTTTCTTGGTGACTCATTTCTTTCTACTTTGTTGCTATGTGAAAAAAATCACACAAGCAGGGGAAACTGACTACCTAGAAAGTGCTGTTAAACACACAAAGTAAATAAGCTTAAAAACATAGAAAAAGTCACTAATATTTAAGTTAATAGTAATCTTAGGAGCTATTTTTTATGGTAAGTAAAAATTGGTCAGACAAAAGTAGGATTTGTATGTAGGCTGTTTCCTGATCTATGTGTTCTATAATCAAGGATAAAAGCTACAAGTTGGAGGGTTCATTAAGTGCTCATTGAGAACAACAAAACAAGCTAACGAATGCATAATCATGCAAGGTGTGAAGACTTATTTATAGTATTCAAATGTGTTATTAACAGCCTCATTACATTAGCAATCAGTGTGCAAAGCTTCTTACCAATGTGGCTTGTGAAACAGGCATTTACAGGAAACAACTTCATCACTGAAATATCATAATTTCAGAGTCACAGATTTTGTCATTGTGTATAAAGCTGACTTATGAGACTTTGTCCTAAATTCACAGCAGACATACCAATTTATTCCAGTGATTAATCTGGCATGCAATCTCACAACCACATATAAAAAGCAGGTAAACTGAAATAAACTGATTAGGAGACTTGCTAATATGATTAAAATGTTATGAGCAAATCAAATCGGATAAGAAAAATACCTGAAGACAGCAACAAATACTGTATTATAGTATGAGACATTTAAAAAACTATCATCTTTTAAAAGTATACATATATTATTATGCAATGCAGCTTTGGATTAGGCCTCTAACCTCTCATATTATAATTCATAGCCTCAAATCATTAAAAGTGGGTATTTCACTTTAAGGAGTTTCCAACCACTCAGTTACGACAAAAATAATTACTACTTTAAAAGCAATAACTCTTTCCTTAGGGCTGACATGTTGTTTACTTACAGACTTTCCATTTATCCCCCGAGGGTCTTCCACTGAAGATATCTTCTTCCAAATTATATATGGGCTATTAGCTAAAGTGTGCTTCAAACAGTCCTAACACACACACACCTGTGGAGAATACAGCACCGCACAGTTGTATTAATTTGTTGGCATGAAAGTAAGAGCTGATCTTTACATTTGCAGCTTTCCATTAACTAACATGTACACACAAGTCAGGAACATTCATCTTCAATGAATTAAATTAATCTTTAAAATAAATATATGGTCTTGCTATTTATGACAATCTACATGAGCCAAATGCAGCAAGTGATAGCTCTGTTGTGCCTGCTATCAGCAGCTGAAAGAAAGGCAGCCAGGAACTTTTCTACAGCCACTATTTCTGTGCCAACAATGCAAAAGATTTTTTTAATTGTGTTTTTTTTTGGGAGGGAGGGGGTGGTTTGTATTTTTTAAATTCAGTTTCTGCATGCTTTCTATCAACATCAATTGTACTGTAATGCTAAAAGGAAATAATAACGAAGAAATATGATTGTAGACTGAGCCAGGATAAAAGAGAAAATCCACAACGTTTTCAGAATGTTGCCCTCAAGCTAAGGATATTATACTAAATCTCTGCAAGTTTACATTAGGTCACAGTCCCACTGCCTATAAAGTCATAAATATGAGATGCTTTGTGTTCTCTCACCTTCAGAAAGTGTTCTTTCATGTTAAGTAACAGAAAACAGAGTTACATTTAAAAAGGTTCAGTCCTTTTTTTAAAGGGAGCATTTCAAGAGATAGTTTCCTCTAAGGAAATTATCTTCAGAATAAAGTGTTGGGACAATTGTTTAAGATTTAAAATTAATTGTTCATACCAGTCAAGCAGACATCACTCCAAACACCAGCTCCCAAAGTTGTTCCCCCTCCCCAAATTTGTGATGAATCTGTTTATGAAAAGTGTGGAGTAAATGCAGTGTGAACAGATACAATGTAAACCAAGGAAATCACTGATGAAATCTGAGGGCTTGTCTACACTTACAACAGTGCAGTGGCACAGATGTGCCTCTAGCACTTAGTGAAGACGATCCTATGCCAACAGGAGAACTCGGTGTAGATACTCCACCTTCCCAAGAGGCAATAGCTATGTTGATGGGAGAAGCTCTCCTGTCTACATAATGCTGTGTACACCTGGAGTTAGGTTTGTATAACTGTCGCTCAGGGGTGTTGAAAATCCACAAGCCTGAGTGATACAGTTATACGAAGAAACTCCTAGTGTAGACCAAGCCTTAATCTCTCTCTCACACAAACAGTTAGGTAAATGGCACTTTTCCTTCTGTAACAAACTAAAGCCAAGGTCCTGCAAACACTTACTCGGGTGAGTAGCCCTAATTCAATGGGACTACTTGCATACATAAATCTAAGTATACGCATATGCATTTCAGGATTGGGATCTAATGACCTAATCCTGCTATCCTTTATTTCAATGGGAATGTTACATGTACAAGATACATACTATTGGATTCTACTTAGTCCACAAATGCTTCTACTTGTATAAGATTTATTTTAAAAAGCAACATGAAAAAAGCATTAACAGGTCAACTCCACACAGTAGGGAGGATGCTGATACGCAACATGCTTCCTGGTGTATCTTCCCCAACATTTCTGGTTTACAGGGAAGGGACGGTCACGGTGGGGCTGGCCACTTTAAAGGGAGATAAGCTTAAGGCCACCTGTGACAAGCTTAACTCACCTCCACAGGTGGGGAAAATGAAGATCAGGTGACCCAATTAGGCTTCTTAAAAGGAGAGTCTGCAGAGAGTTAAGAAATGGTGACCCAGCGCCAGGAAGGAGGGCTGGGGACTTCCTACCATAGGGGAGAGAGACATTCAACTGGGGTAGCAGCCTGGAGGGCCAATGTGTCAGGACTAAATAATCTGGAACCAAAAGGGGAGTGTTTTAATTACCTTTGGACTCTGATGTGGAGTTTTTGAGGAATCTGGGAAAGGAAACCCGCACAGCAACATCTAGCCATGAGAGCTGGGGCACCAATTTAGACAAATGGGGGGGGATTACAATCCCCACTTGTCTCCCCACCCCTTTAGGGACCCCAGGTCTCCCTCAGCCAGGGAATCTTCCCTCTCTCTTTCTCTCTCTCTATGTGCACAATGCATGAGCCAGTGCCACCTGGAGTCAAGTTCTTGGCATGCTCTCCTGCACACCACTATATAGAACAGACTTCTCATGCCCCAGGTCACAACGGCACTCAAATTTGGCCTGGTTGCCCCTCTGTCTGGATGGTGGGGCTGCCAGGTCTAATTTCAGTGACATTGCGACCATGCAGCTGGAGCAATGCTCCCAACTGCTCCAGCAGCTTCTATACTAATTTAGTACCAGACCACTGCTGAAAGGTTGTTGGGCCATGGTCCACCTGTCCATCCCCTGCACTCTGGCTCTGCAGCCTATGGAATATTGAGGAAGTGCTAAAACCTAATGGAGTGACACATTCACACAACCCACAACACTGTCTATTGACACCACTTTATGAGGGGGCTCTTGGGTGGCAATCACCCTGCTACAAAGATCCAATACAATCCTTCTCCTGTTGAGGACAATGGAAAACTTGAGATACTTCTGTGGGAGCAGGACTGGGCCCTTGGACTTGTTCTGACACCAGATTCCTAAGCAGGCAATTAGAAAATTATTAAAGACTTTAAAAAGTTACAAAAGGAATTATTTTTTAATTAAAAACCAACAAACAGCAGGGTGAAATGTTTCTCTGCCAAAGTCACGTACAGGATGCTGTTCTCCTAAGCAATGACTGCTGCCCGTTTAAAATGTCTTTTCCTGCAAAACTCCATACAGGGAAAACCACATGAGCTGAGACTCTGCAACTTCACTGAGGGAATAAAATGGTGTCTTTTCTCATGAAAAATATCCAACAGATAATTGATGTCATTTGGGTGATTTGGCAGCTTTCCAAGTCAGCAGTACACCCTTTACAAATATATAATATGAAAGCTTTACCAAGACTGGTAATCTTTTACACTTAAAATGCATTCTTGTAATAATGCCAATAAGCATAAAACAGATAGATTTTAGTCTATACAATTCCTCAGGAGTGACTAAATGACCTGACTCTCAGGAGCTGCAGCTAACATTATCTCACACTTACAGATGTTTATAAAATATAGTTCCCATTAAGCCATTTTGCGTAATACATCACTATCAGAAAGAGCCCAATATTGCATTCTTTGCTATGGCAAAACACACCTTCAAGTCAATGGAGTTGCATGCTCATAATTAAGAGGGTTAGACATTTGTCCTCTACATTCTGACTATCCACCCTGCTGTTAGGGGCAAAAATTCAGCCTGCCTCCAAAGCTGTTGAAGGCCTCTGACAGCAGCACTAAATTAGCACTGACATTAGGGTTTAGCTTTCAATATAGAACAGCTGATTTACAATGTAATAATGTAATTTTAATTTTAAAAAATTAAACAAACTTAAACAAAGGCAACTGAGTTATCTTTATTATAAATGTCATGTAGAATATTCTAACATTTAGTAAGTTTCACAAAAAACTAATTAAACTCCCTTGCGTTGTAGCAAAAATTACATCTGAATTACTCAGAGTATCTATTACACAGAGGTTATTATATGCAAAATAGGTCATCTAATATGGGGGAAAATACCTCACAAATTATGGGAAAGACAACACCCAAATTGAGGGGAAATCATGAAAATACGTATCCTTTTTTTTCTTTCTATATTACTTCTGGGATCAATTAACCACTTTGCTTACTTAAATATTATTATTCAATATGTATATGGTGATAGCACCTAAAGACCAACCAGGTCACAGAATCATTGTGTTAAGCACTGGTGTGACCCAAGGACCCTTGGTGCAACTGGCAGAGAGCACAAGGAATGTAGAAGGTCTTGCAGGGATCCTCTGGGTCAGATATTTTCATAACAGTTCACCAAGAGTGACATGTGAGGTTTCTACCGAGAGCCAGTAGCCCATTGCTTATCATAATCACTGTGCAATATGTCTATGGATAATACTTATGGATTTATGCATCTATACTAAAATTAATGTTCTTAAGGACTGGGAATTAAGGCAGGTCACCAGGGGGTGACATAACTCAGAACTTTCAGACAGGAGGTTACAGACGCTTATCCCTCTGTCCGGCCACGAGAGTATTCTGTATTTTATGACTCACAATGGAGGCCTATTTTCACACTGAGCAAGATACTAGTTGAAAGACTGCAAAATCTACAAGAGAGAAAACCTACAGGGAAAAAATAAATGCCCAGCAGGGGAGAATCATGTTTATGACTAACATCAAAAGATAGTCTGGTATATCAGGGAATCCAAAGAAACACAGGGAATCCTTAACCGAGGAAACAAGCTGACAGTGTTGTTTGTCTCATGAAAAGAGGATCAAAGCCAGCCTGGCTGTAAAGTGCTGGTGAGCAATACACCTCTACCCCGATATAACGCGGTCCTCGGGAGACAAAATAAATCTCACTGCGTCAGGAGCGCCGCCAGCATTTTTGCCGCCCTAGGCAGTGGAAGGTCCCGCCCCTGAAATGCCGACGACGACCAGGGCGGCTGAAGATCCGGCCACCGCGGTCGCCGCCCCCCAAATGTTAGTGCCCTAGGCGACCGCCTAGGTCACCTAATGGATTGCACCGGCCCTGCACTGTGTTATAGGTGAGAGCGCATTATATCGAACTTGCTTTGCCCCCCCCATTCCTTGTTCCCTGACCACCCCCTCCAGAGACCCCTGTCCCTAATCACCCCCAGGACCCCACTCCCTAACCAACCCCGCCTGCTCCCTGTCCCCTGACTGCTCCATCCCCTATCCACACACCCCACCCCCTGACAGGCACTCACCGGCAGTGGCGGGTGCACTGGAGCAACGTGGCCCCAGTCCACTCCACTCTGCCATCTCCCAGCCGCAGCCCTCCACTTCCCGCCGCCGGTGAGTGCGGGGAGGTTGGGGAAAGGACGCCCTGCGCACTCACCGGCGGCGGAAAGCAGAGCGCCGCAGCTGGGAGCTGGCGGAATGGAGCGGGCTGGGGCTGCATTGCTCCGCTTCCCGCCGCTGGTGAGTGCGGGGAGGTT